GAGTGGCCGCTGACCTGTCCTCTTGGTAACTCTAGTGAGGGATGGATATGTTGGGTCCCGTTGTAGGTAGGAAACTAGAAGCTTCAGCCAAGTGTAATGTCGGGCTGTCGGAATGCTAATTTGAAATGGACTGAGAAAAACAAAAAACCCAAAGGAGATAAAGGGAAAGACGTGATCAAGATGGTATTATAGACCCTCTTGAACGACTTTGTGTCGAAATGAAGCTGCCCCAGAAAGTAGCGAATGGCTCACTTAGGTGTAGGTGTCCTCGTGTGGGGTAGAGAATTCGTTGGTTGAGAAGTTATTGTGTACACACGTAAAAATAGTGATATGCAAATGAGCATTGGGTGCCATCTAAAAGCTTACAAGAAGGGATCCCCCTCTCCCCATAGCTTTAGCCTACTGCTAATCAGAGTAGGCAAAGTGGTAGGAAAAGACTGAATCTGGCTGTTCTTAGCATTTGACACCACTTGCCATATTTTGAACAACAGTTCTGGTTTTTTCTTCCCCTTATTTTAAACCAGTCAGAAGGTACCATGGCAAAGGCATATCTTCAGTGTACAAAAAAGATTATTGCATCCGGGGAGGTGAGGTTTGAATGGGGATCTGGTGGTCCTTGGTCATGGGGTCTGGGTAGTTTCTCAGCCTCTTGGTTCATTCACATGTCATTTGTCAATACGTCCTGGTGGGCTCCTGTCACATGTATTGTGACATGAAATGCTGAATGGGGGTTGTTAATGGTCTAAGCAGCCAGCCTGGGGAAGACACAAAGCTGGTCATGTAACCAGTTCCTATCAATATACTGTCTTACATCTGGTGGTTATTCTCAATGGGCAGACTTACGTCTGGTGGTTATTCTCGATGGGCAGACTTATGTCTGATGGTTATTCTCGATGGGCAGACTTATATCTGGTGGTTATTCTCAATGGGCAGACTTATATCTGGTAGTTATTCTCGATGGGCAGACTTATATCTGGTGGTTATTCTCGATGGGCAGACTTATATCTGGTGGTTATTCTCGATGGGCAGACTTATATCTGGTGGTTATTCTCGATGGGCAGACTTATGTCTGATGGTTATTCTCCATGGGCAGACTCTCAATGGGTGGACTTATGTCTGGTGGTTGTTCTCTATGGGAAGGCCGTCTAATGTGCAGGATCTGGTTGGGAGGTAGTCCCAGATTCACAGCTACCCTTCTGTTATAGTCATATTGTGAACACCCTGAAAACTGGACATTAAGTACAGACAAGTCTTTCAGGATCTAATAAGTAGTTTTCTATTTGCTGATTGGACAAAGGACAAAGTAGCTCCTTTTGTTTAGCTTGTCTATGTTAAAAGGGGTAGAGTGCCACTGTGCTGCGGTCTCTGGATACCCACAACTTAACTCACCACTCTGCTCTCCTGTCTTCTTTACAGCCAAGCAGGTTGAATATCTGGTCAACGAGAAGCACATCTATCTGCTGCCGAGCGGTCGAATCAACATGTGCGGTTTAACCACCAAAAACCTAGATTACGTCGCTACCTCCATCCATGAAGCCGTTACCAAAATCCAGTGAAGAAACACCACGTAGTTCACACCACCAGGGCAGTTCTGTGTCACGTCTTCCCTGCCTGCGCAAACCTAGTTGTCCATATCCTGGATCAGAGATGGCCGTGGGGAGGCAGCCGCTGCTGGCCCCACGTGAAGGAGACATTTCTTGAAATGAACTGGAGGCCCAGGGGATTAGAGCCTTTTAGAAAGCAGAGCAAATCAAAGTTATTTAAGAATAAAAAGTACTTTGCTATGAGATGTAGTTCCCTTGCCTTCCTCTAGCATTCTGCAGGAGTGCTGCGCATGGAGCCGTGGAGCAAGTGTTGCTTGACTCTGTACAAAGTCCAGTCCCAAAGATCGAGCTGTCTGAGGAGCCGGGTGTGACTGTGGGTGTCGGCTGGGGCATTAAAACCTGTCATCTCCACCCAGAGTCTCTTGTCTCCCTGATCTTTCTGCATGGCTGTGTCCCTAGTCTGAGACATTAGTTTTTTTGTTTTTGTTTTTGTTTTTTTAGGCAATTATGGCAAATATTTACATCATGACACACAGATGGATATACATATTTAATTGAAATAAAAGTCCCACTAAATGGTATTGCTCTTGTGATATGTAGCACCTTGTGATATTTTCTTGGTCGATTCTGTTGTGTTCTGTTTCATTTAAAAAATAAAAACACTCGTCAAGACACATGGAATGGAGTTTTGTCCCGTTATTGAGTTGTGGCCCGTAATTTAGAATGAACAAAACAGAATGTGTTCCTGAAACAGAAAGTTCTAGTGGGATCATGGCTGTGAGTCCGTGTTGCTTTTATGGGTTTATCATCCAGAGGCCAGCCATTTTCTTAAGCAATGAGGATGATGTCATTTAGAGTAATCCTAGAATACCAGGCCTTCCCATAACAGCTGGAGCGCCTCCTAGCATATTGGAAAAATTACAGCTGCGTGAACATGCCACAGTTTCCAGAGAGCTCAGAAGCTCTGCAAATGGTGGGTGTGGAAAATTGTGTCTCACTTTAAGCAACAGAGTTACCACTTGGGAGTTTTAAAATATTTCAAAGTAGCTTTTCAGTATTTCCTGGCTCCCGCGAGGTATAAAATCCTATAGTTTTGAAGGTGATTGCCTCCCAGAAGTCACCAGGTCCAGCACTGCTCCCCCAGGGAACTGGTCTGTTTGGCGTTGTCCTGACTCACCCCTTTCAACTGGGTGTGGTCAAGAATTCCTTCCCAGCTTAGCCAGGCACTGTTGGTAGGGCTTTGAGTTAAAAAAGATCTTTTACCTTGAGCCAGAATTTGGTCTCCCTTTGTTCCCCCATTCCTTTCAGGCAGTTCTATTGGTACTGGATGGATGGCCTCCCAGCTCTTGAAAGCAACTGCGGTTATTTCTGGTCTGGCTTTCCTGTGCAGCCCCTTCGCCTCCTTCAGCATCACTCACGGGTCCCTCTGGCTGCACTCACGGATACATGTGCCTGGCTGGGGTGTGTGGATGAAGTACAGGCTAGATGTTAGCTTGCCGTTTCTTTGTTTCCATCTGCACCTCTTATTAATGCTTGCTCTTCCAACTTCAAAATGTTGCCACCCCAGAAAGAGTTTCCTGTCGTTCTCCCTAGGTGTGGTTTAAGCCATCAGACGAAAGCACCTTCATTGTCAATGGTTGTTGAGAGAAAAAGTGTCTTCATTTGGCCGAGGAGATGACTCAGCCAGTTAAGATAGCTTGTGGCTCTCACAGAGGACCAGGGTTTAGTTCCTAGCACTCACGTGGTGTCTCATGGATGCTTGTGAATCAAGTTCAAGGGCATCTCACACTGTCTTCTGGCTTCCAGTGGTACTGGCATATACACCAATAAATCTTTAAATATATAATCTTAATCACCTGATCCAAAATGTAGTTCTACTCAGTTAACTTTTACTAGGATGTTTTTAATTTTTTTTAAAGGGAAAGGTAATTTTTTTTTGTAGTGATACTTTGTAATCTAACAAAGCTTGCCTGAAGAGTGCTGAGTTAAACCACTAGTTAGCCATAGATGGCAGGCAGTGGTGGCACACTCCTTTAATCCCAGCGACAGAGGCAGAAGGATCTCTGAGTTTAAGGCTACCTTGGGCTACTTGAGACTGATTCTGTCTAAAAGAGAACAGCTCACACAAAGGTAATCCCGGGATTTGGGAGTTACATGCCTTTAACCCCAGCACTAGGGAGGTGGAGACAGGAGTGATATGGTTAGGTGGAGAGAGGAAAGCTGGGAGGAGACAGGAGCTCAGATGCAGTCTGAGGATTTATAGTGATGGATGCAGTCTAAGGATTCACAGGAACAGGACTGCCCCTTTGGTCTGAGCAGTGGTAGAGGTAAGAATTATAGTGACTGGCTGTTCTAATTCTCTGATCCGTCCACTTTCACCCCTGATAGCTGACTCCGAGTTTTTATTATTAAGAACAATTAGAATCTGTGTTATAATTTTTCTCTAGGGGAAGTTCTAAATGTACAGGAACAGCTTCAGTGCCTGTGCCAATATGCTAAAGATGCTTTAGAATTAAAAAGAAAAAAACGTCAAGTGAGGGTTTGGCCTTAATTGTGTGTTTATCTGTCTTTTGGTCAGTGTGTCCTGTACTGTGTCTGGCGCTCTGTGGATGTTTGGGAAAAGCTGAAGGACCTCAGACATGGGTGCATGGTAGACTTATTTCAGAGGTGGGATTGGCGTCAAGGATTCTGTATTCACAGATAGGACACTCAGACTTGCCAGTTCCTGGCCCGGCAACCTTAGGCAAATCATCCGACTTCTCAGGCCGCATCAGCACTTTGCGGGGCAGTTTTGGGAAATGAGCAAACACACCCTTATTACATTTGGTAGTATAGCCCAGAGCAAAACAATTGTTACCTTATTAGGGAATGAATCGCCTCTACTGAGTCTCTGAGAACAATCTTAAATTGTTCTGGCATAACCCAGTAGCCGTGCTGTTACATACCTTGCCTGGCTGTACCACAGAGCTGGCTTACAGCGCACCCATATCCTCTGGCCCTGCTCTTACCTTTGTTTCGGAAGCACTGGAAGCATGCCATCTCGACTTCTTTCCTGAGGGTCTGCAGAAGCCTGCTAGTGTGAGCAGCTGAGTCTCAGGGGCATGTCTGGGTCTGGTCCCCAAGATCCTTAGCTTTTCTCATAGTCACACAGGTTCAGCAGACGGTGGCCCTTCTCATTATCCTCTTAATACCCCTTCGTCTCCATTTGCAGCCAGGCTCATGTTTAACTTCCCACTTCTGCCATTCAATTCCTGTGGAGTCCCAAAGCCAAGTACCCGGAAGTTCCTGTAACCTGACCCTAGCCCCACACCTGTCTCGAGAAGAGTGCTTGTCTAGGCAGTGGGGCCACAGGTGAGATGTGGAAACCACGGCAGAACTCGGAAATTCTGTGTGCAATTAAAGCGGCCATAGTCCAGGAAACACATTTTCATTTTATTTAAAAATTATTTACAATGTATTGAGCCTTCATAAATGCTCTATTTTAAAATCTTTTTTTTTAAAATTTATCTTAACCTGAAGAAAATCTGGGGGTTTGGGAGATAGGGAAAGGGGTGGTGACAGCTCCTTAGAGGTTCTGCAGTGGGGGGAGGGGGGTATCGCAATAGCAGTGGCCGGGCTTCAGGGCCTAAGGGATACTGAGAGGGAGCGGCTTTTGTCCAGCAGGCTCCCTTGCAAATTCTTGTTCAAAACTCATCACTTATTGGCCTAGGTCCGAGACCCCCAGCACTTAGTGTGGGCACGATCTGTTCTGACCACGGAGAGCAGGCAGGGGTGGTGGCTGTGGAGTTAGCTAGAACATGCATGGCTGAGCTTCCAGCCAGGCTAAGCGAGTGGCGTGTGAAGTCAGTGACACACACAGAAGAGACGTCGCTGGCTCCAATCTTCCCTCCCAGGGGCTGTGGCCCTCTTGGCAATATCAGCTGTGGTTCGGTAGACAGTGGGCAAGTGTTTTATTTGGGATGTAGGCTGCACCATACGGTGTGGTGTGCCAAAGATTTCTGAGGACCCTGTCTTGGTGAGTACCAACCTTCCCCCATTGACAAGAATGCCTGACCACTTATAATTAAACACCATTCTCAAAGTGTCCAATATTCACTCTGCATTGCAGAAACACTGGGCTGAAAGTTCCCCTATTTCAAACCACTAAAAGCCTTTGTGGGTCTGGGAACTTTGAGGCTGGTAGGAAAGCTTCAAGTCTCTGGAACACACAAACACACTAAGTTCTGACGGTTCCAAGGGCGTCATAGGCCCTCTAAAGTCAAACTACGGACTCCCCTGGGGTAGTGGCCCCAGGTTAACAACCCCTGAGTTAAATAAAGTTCCTGTGGGCGAGCATTTTCCTTTGAGACACAAATAACGTAGAGGAATTATCAGCTGTCCATCTGCCTGTAACCAAATGTGGGGGAGGAAAAGGTGACGTGGGAATGGAGTGGAGACGCAGCAGGCAGAACTACATCTCTGGGCACTGACTGGAGGTGTGCAAAGGGTGAGAAATAAACCAGAAACTCAAATTCAAATTTAAACTCGACTTACATTTTCCCTCAGACTGGCTGTTTCCCCAATACCTACAGTCTCAGTAGATACGCGTGGTCATTCTGCCACCTTGTGGTTATGACTGGAATTGCATCTGCCTCAACACCCAGGTAGGTTTTCGGGATACTTAGCTGACCAGCAAGGGATATAGTAAGTGGGAAGTATGTGAAAAAGAAAAGTGAGCATTCAACATTCCTGTGTCAAGCACACTGAAGTCCCGTGACAGCACGGGGCATCCTTCCTGGCTGACCTGGGCACTCTTTGGTTTATCATGGCTAAAGTCACTGTAACAACTTACAAGTTTTTTTTTTTTTTTTTTTTTTTTTTCCTGCTTTGATTTTCACTTAAAACCTGAAGTTCCATGTCTGGCTCACAACTTGGTCTCTGTGCTCCCTGATTCTCCTTTTCTGAAGCTGGCTTATTGAGAGATTAGTTACTGGAAGCCCAAGCTGACACGTCCTGGGGAGATATGGTGGCTCAAGCCTTTGTCGCTTGCCCTTCCCCAGGCTTCAGAGAGAATCCAGTCACTGACAGTGAGTCCCCAAAACTCTGAAGTTCTGGTAGAAGAATCCCTGTCCATCCCTGGAGCTGACCTTCACACCCGCTCCTCTAGACTCGAATACACCTCTCTCCCGCATCACCTCCAGAGTTAATCCTAAGCATGAACTATGGCAGAAAGGGCTATTTTGTTCTGGAAGAAAGAATGGTCAATTCCAGGACGTGGGTCTCCTGTGGTCCAGGGACACCAAAGAACAAAGAATATCCCTGGGAGCCTCAGAGAGGCATTACCAGCTTGGGGTCATCTCCCTGCCGGTCCTGGACTATGCTATGGACAAGACCACTTCTAGCCTCTTCCATCACAGGCATCTCCTTCTGTGTCAAATTGGAGACAACTGGGAAAACTTGTCAGACTGACCGAGAGGGGTGTGAGGTGGAGGGCAGGATGTTCTGTCACCGTGGGAGGCCTTGGGGGAAGCAGGTGATGGGAGGGTGGGTCTTCCCCAAAGCCTTGGAATTTCACACGCGGGCCAGTGAGGTCTTCCCCTCGTCAGGTGATCAGAGGTGTTAAATTGGAGTTTTCCTCAGAGGCTTTCTCTCCATCTGCTGACCTCTTCCTTTTCCGGCCACCTGAAAAGCGGGTTGTCAGCTCAACCTGCAGCTAGGGAGGACAGTCTCAGCAGGCTGAGGACTTGGGGACAAAGCCCTGCTTTGGAACTCCTGCCATGGAACCTGCATTGCAGCTTGGTGCTGACATTAGCATCTGAAGCACTTTCCCATCGGAGGAGCCTCCTGAAAAACCACGGTCCCAGGCAGTAGCCTATGGCAGAGTTCATGCAAGGGACTAGGTAAGGCGCTGAAATGCCTTCTCTCCCTTTTCTGGAAGGCTCCATCCAGCTCAAGTGACTGCCTGAAATCCCCAAAGAGTGCTAGTCTCCCAGTCTCTGACATCCCTTGGGCTGAAGTTGGTGGGTAGAGCTGGGAGCCATTCCCGGGGGGTCTGGTTCAGAACGTCTCCTGCCCGCTCTCGGCCAGGTGATGGTGGTTGTATAAATGTCCTCAAAGATGGAAGAGGCCCCTGTTTGCAGCTCTGCAGTCTCCAGGATGGAACATTTTCATCCTGTTCTCTCCGCCACTGGCCCCCGTCTTTTCTCTCTTTTAAGGAACATTTACTGTGTGCAGGGACACGTGTATGTGTGTGCATGTGTGTGTGTGTGTGTGTGTGTGTGTGGTTGTGCAGGTGCCATGGTGTGCATGTGGAGCTCAGGTCACTACTTGTGAGTCAGTTTTCCCCACTTCCCATGTGGGTCCTGGGAATCACACCCAGGTCCTCAGCCTTGGCATCTCCCTCGCTTTCCTTTCTATGGAGTCTCCTGGCCAAAGGACTATATAGTGAATATTATGGGTTTAGCAGGTTCTAAGGTCTCTGTCATGATTATTTAATCATGATAAATTGACCTGATGATCTAAAGGTCTCTACCTATAAAAAAACAGGAGAAGGAAGGAGGGGGGTCATATTTTGACCTCAGGGCATGTCTGTGGACTCCTGTCTCCAGAACACCAATGGAAAGGGACAGAGTCGAACAGTATCACAGGTGTGGCACTGGCTCAGGCCCTGTTGCAGTTTTCTAGAGTCGTGTGTCACTAAGGTTTGCAAGCCTCCCCCTGGGAAAAAGACGCTAGCATGCATTCCCACCGCCCAGCAAGGAGCTTCAGTGGGGAGAGAGGTACTCACTCAAGGTTCTTAGCAGCTTCTTGCCCATGGTTTCCTCACAGTCGCTGCTGCTGGGGCTGGCCTCTGGCTCCAGGTGGATGTTACAGCATTCGGTCTCTGCAGCAGAAAGGAGAGCAAACTCAGGTCTCCAACCTGAATGGCAGGACCAGGCAGCGAGATTCGGAGTGACGCCTGTCTGTGAGGACGGGATGGAAGGGTAGGACCTCCTCAACAGTGCGTGCGAGCACGCATGCGCACCTGCCCCGAAGGGTGCTGTCTATTAGTTAGCAAAAGGGACAGAGAGACAACAGGAGCTGTTATCCCCCAGTCTACTCAGAGTCAGAAATGGTTCCCTCCTCAAGTGCCATCTGGCGAGAGAGTGGAGAACAGACTGTGCTCTGTACCAGACGAAAAGGACACCTGGGGCCACAGGATGTCACTTTCTTTTACCTGTAACACCAAGGGCTCAGCAACAACTGAGCACACACCCCTGGCTCCCTAGAGTCTCAGAGCACAGGAAGGGTCCAAGCTGGGAGGAAGGGCAGTGTGCAGGAAGCTGACCTGCGCCTGCACTACTGACCGTGGAGTCCACTTCCAACGTCAAGCTGTTTCCCCCTGTCAACCTCATGAGTCCTCACGCGTCCCACTAAGAGGTGGGCTAGACGGTCTCCAAAGTCCAGCCATCTCCGTGCCTACTCCTTCGCACCCTCTCTTAGCTACATGCTTCAGTGGAACTACTAAATTTGGTGTGCTGGGGAGAAAGAGGTCTCACGTTTTTCAGTCCAAACCCTGGACTGGTGACTGTATGTGCCCTCTTTCTGGGTTTGTCGCAGGTTGTCTCACTGATCTTACAGGCTCAGGAGCCTTTCCAGACCTTCGCTTTGGTGTGGAACGGGGCAGGTCTGAAGCAGCAGCTGGTGGGTTGGTAAACGGTGCGGGCAGCACTGGGGGCTGTTCACCTTTGCTACTGGGACACAGGGAGCTTTGAGCTGCTCCACTATCAAGGCAGAAGTGTGCTCTGTCTCAAATGAAGGGACCCGAGAACGCAGGGAAAGTTCCAGAGACTTTGGCCTGCTCTGTGGCCCAGGGGAAGGGAAGAGCCCTACCAATGAGGGTGAAGGCTGATGATGTCAGAGTTTTCTTTCTTTTTTTTCTTCTCTCTCTCTCTCTCTCTCTCTCTCTCTCTCTCTCTCTCTCTCTCTCTCTCTCTCTCTCTCTCTCTCTCTCTTTTTCTTTTTGACAGGGTTTCTGTGTAGCCCTGGCTGTCCTGGAACACACGTTGGAGTTTGAGCCCAGGCTGGCCTCGAACTCAGAGATCCGGCTGCCTCTGCCTCCCGAGTGCTGGGCTAAAGGCATGTGCCACCACTGCCCGGCCTATTATTTATTAACTTAGCTTACCAATTAAGATAAGGAAACTGAACCTTGGGTTGAGTAATTTGCTTACAATTGCACAGTCCCTAAAAACCCAGTGTGGGTGGTGCATGCTTGTATTCTCAACACTTGGGAGGTGGAGGCAGGGGGGCTCAGAAGCTCAAGGTTCTGCTACAAAATAGGTTCGAAGCCAGCTAGGGTTACATGAGAACTTGTGTTTAAAAAAACAAAAAACAAACAGACAAACAAACCCAAAAATGTGAATTGAGAGGCTAGGGTATAAATCCAAGTAGAAAACAGATCCTACCAATGCTCAAGTTTTCCTGGAAAGGTGAAAATTAATGGGCCTGATACATGGTAGGTGCTTGGTAAATGCTGACAGCACCCCACCTTGTACCCCCTCCTCTGATATAGGAGCTAGGAGCCCAGGGCCCCCCAAGTCAGCTGGTTCTGAACCACACTTGTGTCTCAGAGCGGTGATCTCCCTTGCTCCTCTGGCCCCAGCTCTGACCTGTTGTGGGAACAGCCGCAGGGGACAGCGAGAGCTGGTGTGTCTTGTTCTCCTCAAAGTCGGCCATTTCTTCCTGGGGGAAGGCCATTTCCTCCATCCTCAGGTACACCACCTCCCCGGGGCTTCTCAGACCATCTGAGCGGCTGCCTAGGGAGGACAGTGAGTATGTCACCACTGTGCCTTGGAGGAGACCTGGGGCTCCGTGAGGCACAAGATGGCTGCGGAGCAGAAATGGAGACGGTAGGGAGGGTTGCTCATACCGCACAGCAGCCCAGCCCGTCTGCCAGACTGACTCACACGGCAAGCTGGTCCTGTTGCTCAGGAGTGTGAGGACTGGGTCATCCTTTGGAGTCTGGGGTGTGCCCCGGGTCGTAGGGGCCTTGGTGGAGTACCCATCAGTGAAAGCCTCCATGTCTGGGGACTGGGGCGAGCTGTCCATGTGGCAGGCCGTGAGTGCATTCTGGTACTGCTGTCGTGTGATCTGGAAGAAAGTGGACAGAGGCTCAGGAGAGCGGTGTAGACACTGCATCACAAACAGCTCCTCTGGGATGCTTTGGAAGGCCTGGCCTGAGGCCATGAAGCGGAGTCCCACCCAAGCACATTAGCCCCGCAGAAGGACAAAGAAGGGTCCTTTACTTGCTGACCACCAACACCCAGCGTACTGGGAAGAACCTGCCTGGACCTCTTCTGTGTTGCTGCAGCGAAGTATCCGAGCCTTGTACTTTATATAAAAAAGAGGTTTGTTTGGCTCAAGATCTCGGTGGTTGGAAAGTACAACCAGCATGGAGCTGACGTTTGGTGAGAGCCTCCCTGGCTGTATCACACGCTGGAGAAGCAGAGAGGGAAACGGTTGACTGTAGCAAGGGGCTAAACACATAGGCCAACCTTGTTTGACAACAACCCAGTTTCACAAAAGCCAATACAGTCCCAGGAGAATGATATTAATCCCCTTCGAGGAGGTGGACCCTGTAACTCTCACATTCCTCTAGGTTCAACCTCTGGAAGATCCACCTCATAATACTGTTACACTGGGGACTTTGTTAACTTTTGGGGACACACTCAAACCAGGGGATGTGGGCCAGACAACTGTGACTCTCACACTTCAGTATCAGACCCACAGGGTTTGTTACATCCAGGTTTCTGGGCCCAATTCAGAATGTTTCTAATTTACTAGCTCAGCATCCAAAACAGGATTTCCATTTCTAGCAAGTTCCACGTAAGGCTAGTGATACTGTGCTTTGCAGGGAACTAACTGACCTGTGCCTCACACTAACTAGGTCTCAGTCAAAGCAGTTTAAAGGACACAGCGGCATTGTGCTCGCAGCTGGATTTGGTAGTTTGCAGGCAAAAACTAAGCCTTGTGCTTTATAATGTGGAAATGTGTGTGTCTGTCCACTCACTGTCTGCCCAAAGCTTCAACAGAGTCAATGCTCTTGCTGAGAACACCTCATGGCCCAGCCTCTGCTGTCCCTCACTCAGCTATCTGGTTATGTTCTGTTGTGGAATATTTGTTTAAGATGTGTTACATTTGTTTATGCTGTGGAATATTTGTTTAATGATGCAAAGTTGTGTTGCATTCTTTTAGGTTGCACTTGTTTAACTCTGTGAAGCTGTGTTAATTTGCCTGCCTAAAACACCTGATTGGTCTAATAAAGCGCTGAACTAGGCAGGGAGGAGAAAGTGGTGGGGTTGGTGGGCAGAGAGAACAAATGGGAGGAGAAATCTAGGGAAAGAAGGAGGTGCAAAAAAAGGAGAAGGAGAGGAGGATGCCAGGGACCAGCCACTCAGCCACACAGCCAGTCAGAGTAAGAAGGATGGGAAGATATAATAGAATAAAGAAGGGTTAAAAAGCCCAGAGGCAAAATGTAGTTAAAGAGAAACGGGATAATTTAAGATAGAAAAACTGGCAAGAAACAAGCCAAGTTAGGCCGGGCATTTATAAGTAAGAGTAAGTCTCCATGTGTTTATTTGGGAGCTGGGTGGTGGGCTCCCAAAGAGTGGAAAAAACAAAACAAAAAACTAACTACAACGTTACATGTAGAAAATTTCCTACAGGACACTTGATAAAGAGAGCAGTTGACCCTCCAGTAGCTGTGTTCTGTAGTGATATTTCATTTGTACTTTAATAAATAAAGCTTGCCTGAAGATCAGAGAGTAAAACAGTTGCACTGATCAGCCTTACAGACCAGGCAGTGGGCACACACACCTTTAATCCCTGTAGTCACACTAGCTCGCCATAAAAGCTGGGCAGTAGTGGTGCACACCTTTAATCCCAGCCCTAGAGAGGAAGATAAGATGGGAGGAGACAGCTGTCAGACACAGTCTCATTCTGAGATTCCTGGAGGCAGGATCGACATTTTGGACTGAGGTAGAGGTAAGGGCCAGAGACTGGCTGTTTCGCTTTTCTGACCTTCAGGTTGAACTTTATTTATTAAAATACAAATGAAATATCACTAGATTGTTCTTTAAAGAATTACTTTTATCTTATTTATTCTTAATTAAATTTTAGTTTATGTGGGGCGTGGTGTGTGTGTGTGTGTGCGCACCACACCTTATCAGAGGTCTGATAAGGGTATGAATCTGCTGTAGCTGCACTTACAAGCTGTTGTGAGCTGCTCCACAAAGGTGCTGGAAATCAGGTTCACTGGAAGAGCAGCAAGCACTCTCAACTGTTGAGCCATTGTTCCAGCCCCCCGCTGTGTTCCTCAAAATATTAATTTAGACCTGTCTTCTAGTTTAATCAAATAAGGCAAAGTCATCCTTTACCCAGAAAGTATAACAGGAAACTCATGGCCTGCTGCTCAGCACCCATGACTCAAGCCTTGGTTTTGTCACTTTTGGGCTGGGTAACACTAGCCAGATCAATAGCCCCTCTGAGTTTGTAGAACATGCCTGGAGAACAGAGATAATATGAGCTCATGCATTATGCAACCATACCATATGACTATTTATCACATGCCCACATACATCTCTCAATCTGACTTTGTACGAGGCACACATTTCAAAGACAGGTGCCATATTCACCATCTCGCTCCTTCTAAATTCTCCACAGCATGCCATGGTGTGGGGGAGGAAGAGGGGCGGTGGCCCTCTGTTCCCCAGAGTCTGTGTGACTGGTGGTGTTAGAGAGACAAGTCTAGAAGCTTGGTAAAGCCTTCAGTAAGAAGACACAGCCAAAGAGGACAGCAGCCGGAGGCAGATGCCAGGGAGGCCGTGGAAGGATCAGGAAAATGGACGGGAAAAGCTACAGTGATCGTGGAAAAGCAGGAGAAAGGAGATAATGTTGGGTTTGACTTTGGATCTGCTGGCTCAGGACTTCCATCTGCCAGGTGGATGGTTGTGTCCCCCAAGCCAGATGCCTTTTGGGAGTGAAGCTGTTGTAAAATGCTCCATCTTCCTTTAACACTTTTTCATACATGGGAGGCTTCTGCCCTGTTGGCCCTGTGCTGAGCTACGCTTCAGACACCACTGTGGCGGAAAGAAAGGTACAGGAATTAATGACCACTTGATAACAACTCTAAAGGAGGGAGCCCTTCTGTGAGATACCGAGTTCCCTGTCATTGGAAGCAGTCACCGTGTTAAACCCCCACTTGTTGGTCCTGTTGTCCTGGCTAGTGTTTGTCAACTTAACACAAGCTAGAGTCATTGGAGAGGAGGAAGCCTACCTTGAGAAAATGCCTCCCTAGGGTTGTGCTGTAGGGAAGCCTGTAGGGCATTTTACTAATTAGTGATTGATGGTGGAGGGCCTGGCCAATTGCTGGCTGGGGCCACCTCTGGGCTGGTGGTGGTTCAGGGTTCTATAAGAAAGCAGGCTGATCAAGCCATGGGAAGCAAGGCAGTAAGCTGCATCCCTCCAGGGCCTCGGTGTCAGCTCCTGCCTCCAGGTCCCTGCCCGGTTTGAGGTCCTGTCCTGAAGACTTCCTTTGATGATGAACAGTGATGTGGAAGTGTGAGCCAAATGAACCTTTTTGCTCCCTAAGTTGCTTTAGTCATGGTGTTTCATCACAGCAATAGAACCCTAACTAAGAAGCCTGCTGGAAAGAAGATTCAGACAGCTGCAGCCAGGACATTAGGAGAAGCACAGTGGTGTGTGTGTTGTAGGGAGTGCTTGGCCCTGGATGCTGGGTAAAGGGTAGAGTTTGGGGGAGGGTCTGCATGCCAGTGGGTGGCTGTTAAAAGGGACAGTGCCATTGACTGGTTACCTCTTTGTTCTTACAGCCTTGCTTTCACACTGTTTAAAGAAAAGAATTAAACTTTAAACTACCCCTGTGTGCTAACACATCACTTAAAAAAAAAAAAAAAACAAAAATCTGTCTCCATAGAGACTATAGAGAAGGCTTAGCAGTTAGGAGCACTTGTTCTTGCAGAGGACCTGGGTTCGAGTCTCAGGCATACACAGACATACATGTGAACAAAATACTCATACACATAGAATAAAATGAATAAATCTAAATAAATTAGAAAAGAGAAACTGTCGACATAAACTCTGTTTTGAAGAATGAACTCGGTTCAAATATCCCTTTTCGTCCTTTCTTTCCCTTTGGGCAAATTTTGTTATTAGTGCTAGTGGGTGGATCCAGGGCCTGGGACGTGCCAGGCAAACAAGGCGCAGCTGAGTTACGCTCCTGGCCCTGACAACTTTTCAATTTAGCATGTTATTGTTAAGTAGAATTATTGTTTAGGAGTTAAAATGAGAAACAGGTCAACCAGAGCTACATGTGACACCCTGTCTCCGAAAAACAAACAAGAGAGAAACAGGTGAACTAATTCTATCAATGTGGCCTTGACAGTCAACTGTTCTCATCGCCACCAGCCCAGAACTGGGGCAGCCTGATCCTTTCCCAGCGTGCTTCACTGCAGCCTCCCATAGCCTTTGTGGGTATGCCCCACATGACACTGCCTTAAGCCGGCTCTGGTTCCGTCCCAGTTTTTAAAGGACCAGACATTGTCCAGATAATATAGTGCTTTAAAAAAGTCACGTATTTAGTGCCTGCACTGATCATTGCTATTTAACTTATTTTTTCTCCTCTTATCTCTTGCAAGGTTGTTTTATATAAAACAATTTACATGCTTATATTTTGAAATTTTTTTTTTAGTTTAAAAATTTTTTATGTGTCCGGGTGTTTTGCCTGTATGTATGTTTGTGCAGCATGTATATGTCTGGGGTCCATGGAGGCCAGAACAGGGTGTCGGATCCCCTGGAACTGGAGTTACAGATGGTTATGAGCTGTCATGTGGGTGCTGGGAAATGAACCCAGGTCCTCTGGGAGCGCAGTCAGTGCTCTTGACCACTGTGCCATCTCTTCAGCCCCCATATTTGTATCTTATATTCAAATATATTTAGCACACTGCACAGTAGCCAAAGAACATTGTTAATACTCAAGAAATTCACACTAATTGGATGGCGAGGTTGAGCAAGCTAATTTTCAGAAGACAATGTTTTCTTCTTGTCTCTCATTCCCTGCCGCGATGTAGCCATGCAATCTTAGCAGTAACTCGAGTTTAGACTGTCCTTTCATACTTTGGCCAGTCAATAATTTAAGAAGCGCCTAAATCATTATCTTGAAACTAACAAAGGTAAGGTTTCCCTTTTGGGAATCTTGACTTGGCAGCCAAGGCACCCAGAAGAGAACCTTTAGGCTCTGGATGTCTCATCATTTTTTGAACCTGTGATTTATTAGCCTTCAAAACAGGATCCTGCAATTTAGTGATCTTACCACTAGATGGTGATGGTGATCAAAGTCATACAACCCACACCGTAAGGGACCTGTCAAACATAAGCTTAACAATGATGCCTACAGGACAGACAGGCAGAAAGACAGACGACAGAAAGACAGACAGACACACACGCGCACACACACACACACACACACACACAATAAACAAAACATAAAAACCCAAGACAGAACAAAGCCACCAACCAAAAAACAAGACAAAATTCACAAGGATTGGTGGCTTCATAATGTATTCATGTCTACGAGTCATGGCTTTGTTTAAAAATATTTCCAAGAAAACCATAAGATGTGCCTTTCTATCTCATTTTAAACTTGTCTTGAAATCATATTTTTCTTGAACTTTGAGTTTATTGGACAAAGACTGAGGACCATCTGGGGTTTGGGCCCCGTGAAAGCCCTTCCCCGTATGGTGTTCCCTTTCGTTCCACAGGGACGATATGGCTCAGAGCACTTCCCTGGGATGTCTGAGGCCCATGCTCAATCTTTAGTACTACAAAATAAAGTAAGAAAGCACAGAGACTCTCCTGGTTAAAGAGATGGGAGAGGAAGGTGGGGAAAGTTGCCTCAGCAAGGCTCTGAGCATCTTCTGAATCCAGAGGAGCTATCTTTTTTGCTTACATTTTAAGAACAATCTTACATCACACAGCAAAGGAGAAAACTAAACCGTAACACAATTGTCTTGAATTTGAAAAGTGCCCCTCGGTAGAGCTAAATGTTTACTGAAGCCACGGGTTTGGAAAGAGTTTGACTAATGTTTCAATTAGACATCCTCAATTTTAAAATGTTTAGGTGCAAAAAAAAAAAAAAAAAAAAAAAAAAAAAAAAAAAAGAACTCTGTTTGGTATTTCCTGGCAGCTTGAACTCAAACACAATCCTCTGATGTAACAAAAAGAACATATAATTCTCAGTTCTCCTGAGAATTGGCCCTGGCTTTGGGGTTCCACTCCCTCTTCTCAGGTTGGAAAAGCTTTTCCTGTTATTTGTGGAAAGTCCCGTTTTCTTAGGTCTAGGAATGGGAACGAGTTTTAGGGAAACCTTCACAGATTTCCTCCGTCCGAGGGCCTCTTCTCAGTACGTTCCTCTGAGGAGCTGCCGCATCCATGTCTGTCTGATTGCTCTAAGTGATCTCGTCAGGACAAAGACCCTCGGCTCCCCATAGCTCCTTATTTAAACCCGATGGATAAGTAATCTTATTCACTTTTCACTCCAAAGCAGCAAACCAAACTGTACGCTGACTTTTTGAACTTTGGCCATAAATGGTGCTGTATGATGCCCAAAAGCTCTACGCTAAAACCTAATCCCCCGGAGAAGGCATTCAGCGGGAGCGCTTCGGAAGGGCATTGGGTCTTAAGGGTGGTGGGCGCTGTGACTTCTCTTCTAAAGGGCTTGCCTCCTTTCTCTGGTCTCTAACACCCAAGGACACAAAGGACACAAAGGCTGTGAGGAAGTGGGCCCTCCACACATACTGGCTCTACAGGGCCCAGACCTTGGACTTCCTAGCCTAACGTATGTAAGCTGTACATACTATGGTGATTTGTGATGGTGGCCTGAATTGACTTCCTGAGTTGAACAGGAAAACCCAAGTTCGGGGGTGGGGTGGGAGAGAAGGACTCTCCTTTCCCTTTCCCCATCCAAACGTTTTAAAATTGAGAAGGGCGGCCAGTTAAACACTCTTTAAACCCATGGCTTTAGAAAACTGTTAATCCTACTTAATAGGTTTTTTTTTTTTTTAATATAATTGCTGGGGCAATGAGCTAAAAATAGAATCCAAATTCCATATGCTGCCCCAGAGGGCCCAGGGCTTCTGCTTCGGATGCTCCATTCCCATCTCACACCAGCGTCTGCCTCTGTTCTTCACAGGCCAGTGCCCAGATCCCCGACTCCCCCAACCCCCAGCACTGTGGTTTCTATTCTGAGTATTCGCTCTCCTTCCTTCGTCAGCCCTCAGCAAGCGTCCTTCTCTCAGCCCACTCTGAGGGCCACTTCAGAAGCAGCCGACTTGTCCCTCCCTGTCTCTCTTTATGCCTTGGCTCTGCCATCACCACTTGAGCTTATCTGGTTTATGACACACTAACCTGTCTCCTTCACCCCTGCTTTGGACATGTAAACTCTAGAAAGACAGCTGTCGCAGTAGCTCATCCTGAAATTCTGAGGCGATACTCCAAGAGCAGAGCTAGCACATCAGCCCCCCTTGCCACCCTCCTCCACCTCTGAGGAAGGTTTGCATTAGCACTGAGAGGTCTCTCAGGCTGGACGCCACAGGAAGTGAGGTGAGCCTCTCTGCTCTCAGGCCTGGCAGCGGTCCAGTCTCACCTGCGGGTGGTGCTCAGCTGGGCCGTGATTGCTTCTGCCTGGGTGAACTTTTCACAGTTCTCCCTGAAGCCCAGTGACTCCAGGGCTTGGACTCCAGGAGCAGACAGAAGCGTCAGCTCTGAAGTGTGACTCTATCGGTTTTTAGCCAGATGGTCTTGCCTTCAAGCCTCAAAGTCGTGTGCACAACGGGAATGGCAGTAGATCCTACCTGAGGGGATGGTGGTGAGGCTGAATGGCTGAGTCAGGCAAAGTGAAGACCCCAGCAGAGCGCTCTGCACCCAGCCGTCCTTACCCTGCCCTGTCTTAGCTAGGGTTTCTATGGCTGTGAAGAGACACTACGGCCGTAGCAACTTTTATAAAGGAAAGGTTTTAACTGGGGCTGCTACAGTTTCCGGGGTTTAGTCCATTATCGCCACGGAGGGAAGAAGCATGGCGGCCTGCGGTCAGACGGGCTGCTGGAGAAGGAGCTGCGAGGCCCACACTTGATCCACAGGCAGCAGAAGTGAATGCCACACAGGCCTAGCTTGAGCATCTGAGACCTCAAAGCCATCCCCACAGTGACACACTTCCTCCAACAAGGCCACACCTCTTAATAGAGCCACTCCCTATGTGCCAAGCATTCAAACACATGAGTCTATGGGGCCCTTCCTATTCCAACCACCACATGCCCACCAGGCAAGCTCTGCCCCTCTGCTGGTAATGTCTAGTGGTTTCTTCTTTTCACAGTTACTTCTACTGGCTATCACTAACGTATCTGCAGAGTCCTGGCACGTAACACCAGCCAGCACACCCCAGAAGTAATCCGTGCTTTGGGCAGGAGGACATGACCTTCTCCCACTGTGGGGTTTCAGTGCCTGGCAGTTACCAAGTGTACTCGCTGGGTGTTTCATTGGACTGGGGTAAGCAGGGCTCCAGCTAAGGTGTCAGCACCATGTTGATAATGGTTTGCTGGATGTTAGAAGAGAAGAGAGAAGAAAATAAAGGAAAGAAAAAGAAAAGAAAAACTCAGTAGAGTAAGAGAAAGGGAGGAAATTTGAATGACTCCTGGGTACTGCAACCCTAAGGATAGATCTGAAGAGACACCAGGCTTTTTCCTTAAGTGCCTGGTTCTTCAGTGACCCATTTTCATATTACGGCTTAGAAATATTATCATGTAAGTCAATATACTGTCGTAGAAGATTATCACGGCTTTTCTGTACTCTTGACTTATTTATCCCTTGCCGACTGACCTTGAAAGAAGGGAATAGAATCTCTCTGTTGCTAGTGGCAGGGGTCCAATCGAGACAGTTCTGCCTAGAAATGGGTCTCTGGCAAGCTCATCTCCCTTTAGTTTGTGCCTAAGTGTCCCCACATGAAATAAAGGATCAGGAGTCTTAACTGTGTCAAATGATCATCAACAGCAACAACGGACAGTAATGATCACGCTTACTGAAAGCAGGTATGGCCAGGGAGGAAGTGCCACGCACCGACACTGGGGCTGGAGAATGGGACGTGTCTAAAGGTCTGTCCCGCCTCCCCCAGCCAGCTGCCCTCCTGGAGGAATTACCTTCACAAACTGCACATCGCTGAGGATGTGCACCGAGTAGTCAGGTGTGTAGAGGTTGTTGCTGCTGCTGTACAGCTGTGTGTTGCTCCCGCCAAAGTCACTGCGCTCTCGGTTCGGAGACTCGGAGCGATTCAAGCCGCTGCAGCGAGAAGGGGACCGGTTTACTGCAGATGGTGAGGAAGGGGGGAGGGAGGGCGGGCGAGAGAAGAGAAGAGGAAGGATGAGAGGAAGGAGGAAGAGAGAAAGAGGTGCTGTTTACAGAGGTCCCACGGCACTACCAGGCAGTGGTGACATTGCGAAGGCAGGGACCCACACCCCACTAGAGCCCAGGGAAGGAGTGGCTTGTTGGTATCGCCTCCTGGGAGGCACAACCTGACCCAGGGAGGAAGCCAAAGTGCTTGCTTTCCCTAGATGGTGGGCAGAGGTGGGATGCTGTCTTGGCTCAACTTCAAGTTAGGTGCAGGATGCCCCCCAAATACACAAGGATAGCGCTATGTACATGGTGCACAACAGAGAGCCCTCTATTGGGGCTAGGCACTGCGCACAGTGCAATAACAAACCCTTTTAGAAAGACCAGGGTCTTCTGTTTGTCGTCAGAGTCACCTGTCACCACCATGGCCATATTTTAGTGGTGCTAACTTGGGGCTGCCTCAACAGTGGCAGGTCCTGGACCAAGAGTGTAAAGAGAGGTCCACAAGCCATAAGGGTAAATTCTTACAAGTTGTATAGCATGTTAACACGCAGTTACATTGTTTTGTCCTTGCCCCTCACAGCTGTTTATAACAACCTGCAAGGCAAGGTTCAACTCCTTGAGTTTTGTGGCAGGAACAGGGAAGTGTGGGGTGAGCCAGGCTCTGGTCTTAGAACTTCTGGATTCAGTATCTTTCAGGGATGGTTAGTTGTGCAGCTCCAGGACTCTGCATGTTCGAGATGTGTAGCGGGACCTAACTCCCTTCGACTCTATGAAGGTCTTGTCTCATACAGAGACGCAGCACTGAGGAGAGCCACAGTGGTCCTTGAAAATGTGGGCCATGGAAAGGCTCATTCTGGCACAAATGGAGCCTGGAATAATCCACAGACTTTCTGCCAAAGGCACAAATGTCTCCATAGCTTCTTTGACTATGCCATTTGGACAGTGAGCTATCTCTCCTAGGACCAATAGGGATGAGGAAGCTGAAGGTGACCGCAAGCATTGTCTCAGCCATGGGACAACCCTCCTGAGAGAACACACAGCCCTTCTCATCCCTCTGTTTCCCTAGTGGTACCACTCTGCACACCTTCCCCCCAGAGCCCAAAGAGGCTGTAGGCTTCCCAGGACTCAGATGTACTTCAGAGAGCTCAAGTGAAGACTCAAAATTTTCAGAGATTTTTTTTTTTCTCAGAGCGAAACAGTGATTTAATTCTGCCCCCCTGAGATGATGCTTGTGCCAGTCAGGATGTCTGATCAGCACTTACTGGAATGAGGCACCGAGCTGGGCGATTAGTCTATTTGCCAAGTCATCGCAGCTTGGCAAACCACATAGCGAGCCTATTTAAATAAACATAGACCGGACACTTTCTCTCTAGAACCACCAATAATCCCTACTTTTGTATGACTATAGAACTGAGGATCTCACTTTTATCTCAGTTATCTCTGCAAATGCCATTTACTTGTGATTTGCCATTTGATTCCCCCAAGAAACTTGGGAATCAGCCTTGACTCCCCTGCTCACTAAGGACCACACTGAGACCTGCCATTGGCCTCTAACCCAAACAGTCCTCTGCTCTCTCTCTCTAGTCAGGGACAGTTACCAGCACCGTTGCTTGGGTCACAATCTGGTCTCCTCGCTTCTAACCTCAAACAACCGTTTTCCATCTATGGGGGGCATTCCAAGACTCCTATAGATGTTTGTAACTCTAATTGTACAAACCCAGTTTATATGCTGTGTCTCCCTACATATATATGATAAACTTTAAATTATAAATAAGAGATCATCTACCACTATGCATTAGCTAATAAAACAGAAGAATAATACACACAAAAATAAAACTTGTTTATACATTATGAATTCCCTATTTCCTAAATATTTCAACTTAATAATTTATGGATCTTAATTATCATCAGCAACTGAAATCATAAAAAAAGGAAGTCTGGATAAAAGGAGACCACTGAGATCCATTTCCACAATCCATTTCTGATTCTATCTGAATAAACTCAGACTGCTTGCTGATCCCCACTTTCCTGACTGATTTCCTCTTGGGCCACCTTCTCCTCTCTTGGCCTCTGGCCTCCTTGGTGTCCTCAATCACGTAGGTGTCTCTCACTGAGAAGATACTAGTCCCTTGGTTCCCAGCCCTGCCTCCCGAGGTTGCTTCCTTCTCAATCCCTAGCTGTCACTGAAGAGGCTCACTTCTCTGAAGACCTCATCTGGACACCCTGAGAAGCTCCTCCATGTTCACTGTGGCTGTCCTTCTCCTGTCCTTCAAAAAGCACTTTTCACAAAATTTACACATTCTTTAGATCTGCCCAACTAAACATTTAGCAAGGGTAGAGACCTTGCCTTTCCTGGCCATCAAAACCCAACAAAACCTGACCAGGACAGGCACTCAATATAAATGCAGAGTGGAGAAATATGACCTCGCAGTCCTCGAAACGATTTTAATTTAGAATCTAAATTCTGTATAAAAAGAGGTTTTAGAGCTCCCAAATGGTCTTGAGATCCCCAAGCCTTTTCTCTGTAAATTATAGTCATCTGGAAAACTCCTCTAAGAAGCTACGGTTGGTAGTAAGGTACCAAAAACACACCCAGATGGAGTTAAATCCAAGAAGCCTCAGGCCTTGGCCAGCAGCTTAGGGGAGAGGCCAAGGACACCAGGACTCTACCTGTCTGTTTACAGGCGGTCTTGGAGTCAGCCCCCTGGAAGTTGCCTATTCACAGGTGTGGGAGGACTCACTCAGCTTAGGCACAAGTCGGGCATTTAGGATCAGGAGTCACCCTACTTTCTCTCAGGGAGTTACAGGTCAAGCACAGTTACATACTTTGTTGTTGTGTTGAAGAAGGAATATATTTTTAATTTTTAAAAAGTAAATGCACTATTGGATGTTTGTTTATAAAATCCCAAAGATTTTCAAACACCAACAGATACAATTGTCTCGTAAAAGGAATTCTTAAGGGAAAAAAAAGAACCCTCATTTTGTGACAAAGAAAGTCCCAGTTCATCTGAACGTTGTGTAAGATGGATGTTCCAGTGTTCCCGAGCCTGACATTCCTCAATAGGTAGGATGCTGATGACTCGGCATTTTGGTAATTGTGCACACACACTTTGAGGCTTCAGAGCCAGGGGAATGGAAATGGAAATGCTTTTAATAAAGAAAGAGAAGAAATCAGTAACAGACGAGTGTCCCAGCAGCATGGCAAACGAGTTCAAGTTGTCTAATTCCCCTTGGCATTTCCTAAGAGCACAGAGGCACAGCTTGGGGGACGAAACAATGTGGGAAATCCCGAGTGCAGTGCGAGGGGGTCGGAAAGCGGCAGATCAAACAGCGGCACCAGAATACTGCCGAGCACAGGGCACCACCAGGAGGCGGCCAAGCGGCCAGCATGCCTTTGGCCAGCTTGTGGTGGAAGGGGCACCGTTTTCTACTCCGCATCACTAACTGCTCTGGAAGATTGTGGCAGACCTCCGTCCTGCAGCCAGTGTGTGGCCATCCTGCAAGAGCCGTCTGTCCTAGCTAGCGGTTTAGAGTGCCCAAGGCTGGGTGGAGAAGATATTGCTATAAAACTGGGGGAGGATGGGAGGTGGAGAAGAAGGTTTTCCAGAGTAACTGCTGCTGCTGGACAGAACCCCTTCACTCTGCACTAATATTTGGGCTTGAAGACTCCTACTCGGTTCTGGGACTGGTGCTTCACGCGTACCTACTTTTACTTAGGGAGCCTTCACAACCCTATTCAGGGAGCAAAACTCAAAATTCACAAGTATGATGCTTGACTCCCCTTGGGAGCATGAAGATTTGGAGAGAAGACGGGCTCTGGGCCTCCCTGTCGACATCTTTTGGCTCATCCTAGAAGGTTGAGGGGGAACAGCTTCCTTTGGTCACGGTTACTACCACAGGCCATCTGTGTTTCCCAAATTGGATGAGGGGGGGGGGGCTGGGGTTTAATTACATAGGCTTATAAGAGCACAAACTAAGATTATTAAAATTCATCATCCTTTGGTAGTTTTCTAACATCAGACAACCAAATGCCAAGAGCCAGCCCTCCGTCAAGCCCCATGCGAACTCTGCGAGTCAGCCCCAGTTACGATCCCAGATGAACTTGCTCACGTTTCAAGGAGCTTTAATGGTTCCCAAATGTTCACTACACAAGCGCCAACCCCAAGGAATAGTTCCACTTGCCACATTGTACAAAGCCGAAAGATTATTTTTAGGGACTCCTTGTATATTCTGGGAGAAGACGCCATCATCTTTGATCTCAAAGAACATTACGGACAGACGATTGAAGCCTCAGCTGTGACTTCTCCTCTTTCTCCGTGTTCTTGTGGACTTGGGAGGATTGCCACGGGAAAGCCAATATTATCTCCATCAGGAGAAGGATGAAGGAATGAATTTGGTGGGAGGGAGTGATAACTGCAGTGGGGCCAATGAGAAGCTCCATTTTTAAACAAAAGCACCTGCGAAGTTAGCTAATTGCACTGTATTCTGGAGGTGATCCACGGACCACTAAGCTCTCCTTACTCCAAACTCAAAGAAATGCCCTATGGAGAATGGTTTGCAATCACATGCTCAATATTTTTGAAATATTTGGTACAAGGACTCTTGGACTCAGTCCAGTGCGAGCACCATATTCATTAACATGGCTAATGCAAGCACAATGAAGTCCTCTAGGGGGCGCAAAATGCCCACATGTGGAGATGCAGTTATCTGTCCCAGGCAAGAGAAAGCAGGATCCAGGGACCTGGATGCCTTGTCCCTCTACCTGCTTACTACACATACAAGACTGACCAAATGGCTCAATTTCCGTGACTCTCTTTCCCTATAATAATTTCTACCTACCTTCCAAAGTGGCTGTGGGTAGTAAAATAAAATGATGATTTCTTTTTAGAAATCTCCTAACTTTTAAAATTTACTTTTATGTGTGCAAGTGTTTTGCTCGCACGTATATATGTGCACCACAAAGAATGTCTG